AAAAAATTTATTTCGGGCGGGACGAAGTTCGCCGGGTCTGCTAGTATTAAATAAAATTAAAAAATTAAAAAAATATCAAAAAATCGAATAATCAAATTTTTTTCATAAAAAACTTATTGTTGCGGATCTGTCCAAAATGGAAACAGTTCAGAAAGGAAAAAATATCCAGCAATCTAGTTTTAAAATTTTTTCTCATAAAAAACTTATTGTCCCAGAACTGACGAAAATTGAACCAGTTCAGAACTAGTTCGAAAGTTCTGCAGAGGTGGCAATTTCCACTTCGTAGGACATCGCCATGTAAAAAGAGACAATTGAAAGCATTGCGTTGGGAAAGATCGAGAACCAGTACCCGCTCTTAAAGAGCTAGTTCTGCGCTAGTTCCGAACTAGCGCAATTTACTGCAGGGTGGTTTTGCTGGGTTTATCAACGCTTTAAGTGTATTGGTGTCGTCGGCTTTTGTCGGCTACACGTATACTACACCGACTCGTTGTCGGCTATGCTTGATGAAACTCAAAAAATTTTGATATTTGAATGTGATGACTGTTTATTTGACCGTCTCGCGTTATAGCTGAAATACAATGCCGGCGAACGGCGAACTCACCACAGCGAAATTCGCGCTGTCAAAATTAGAACAGACGCAAGCATATGAAATTGAACACAGCCAAAGCGAAATGCGAAGTTCGCTTGGCGGCGTTTCATGGCGATAGATTTATTTCTATCGCCCTGCTGGGCGATGACAGCTGTGCGTGCCAAAGGTGGCCGTATTTGTTTTTTGCTTTCAAAGTTTTAAAAGAAAACAACCTAAACACGATTTTTTTTTTTTGTTGTTTGAAAAATATAGTTGTGGATTCGTTAAATCTGGCTTGAAACAAATTATTTATAATAATCTTTCTTTGTTTTACATTTATATTTGTTATCATTAACTCATTTCTAAATATGGTTTAGTTTTTTCTAAATATGGTCACCCAAATTATAAAGGCGACCAAATGGGATCAGCTGTTTTCGCTACCGCTCTAATTCTGTTTAAGTAGGCGAAATAGCTGGGCGAACGGTGAACGACAGCATCGCCCAATTCGGCGAAGTTTGCCGTTCGCCGGTATTGTATTTAAAGCATTATGCTTGACAAAAAACAAGCTCACTTGCCTTCTGGGCATCGTGGTTAGTGATGTGCCGAGTCGGCTATTTTTGGTACTCGAGTATTTTGGTACTCATTAAAAAAAGAATCGAGTCAGAATTCGAGTCAGATACTCGGATCAAGTATTCGAGTTCAGAGCTCGGTATTCGAATACGTTATAGATTCGACTGCTGAACATGCACCCAACCGAAATGCCGACTTTTTATTTAACATGATATTATTATTAACTCCAAGATAGTATATCCGATTTATGTAGATCCAAACATAGAAATCTAATTCTTACATACTTACAAATAATAATTAAAATTAAATAAATATAGGGTTCAATAACAGTTGCTTTATTTATCATAGTAGAACTAGAACTTAGTAGTATGTCATAAAAAAAATATCCAAAGTAAATAATGAGTTAAAAAAAAATAAATCTTCAGTACCTTAAAAGTTCAACTAGTACTTCAATTATAATGCCAATATTCCATGAGATCTAGATTCATAAACAACAAAATTACTCCTTTGGAATTTAAAATTCCTTTCATCTTTGGCAATTAATACCTATAACGATATTAAAATTAATTTAGTTGTGTGGTGTATTTGGTAAATATATATACATATATATTTTTTTTTAACGCTAAACCGCCATTTATATATCAAAAATACCTGATTCGGTGTTTGATAATTATAAGTACTCGAGACCCGTACTCGAGTCTGTGTATGCGAATACTATAATTTGCTTACTCGAGTACGTGAGTACTTCTAAAATACTCGAGTCAGAACTCGAGTCGACTCGACTCGGCACATCACTAATCGTGGTGAGAAAGCGCGCGGACAAGGAAAAGAAATTGTTTTACGTTTGATTGCTCATATCAATGCTTACTAGCTTTATGAAATACTAGCAGACCCGGCGAACTTCGTCCCGCCCAAAATTTTTATATATTTTATTGAAACTTTTTGGTCCAACATTTTCACCAACAATTCAC